GACCACATAGCAGAAATCAGGACGAACATGTAAGAAGCAGGAACAATGTACTCTGTTTTGCTTTCATTAATCAAAATATACTGCAAGTGATACTTGACCACATAGCAGAAATCAGGACGAACATGTAAGAAGCAGGAACAATGTACTCTGTTTTGCTTTCATTAATCAAAATATACTGCAAGTGATACTTGACCACATAGCAGAAATCAGGACGAACATGTAAGAAGCAAGAACAATGTACTCTGTTTTGCTTTCATTAATCAAAATATACTGCAAGTGATACTTGACCACATAGCAGAAATCAGGACGAACATGTAAGAAGCAGGAACAATGTACTCGGTTTTGCTTTCATTAATCAAAATATTTAGTTAGGTAAAGAAATCATTTTGATTTTTTTTGCAAATACAAATAACTTATTAACCTGAGAAATACCAGAACATTATTGAAAATATAAAATCGCTGAAGAAATCAAATGCAGTTGCTACATGCTGGTGTAATTGTTTGGACAAATGTTACAGACTAATGAAGTAATAACACTTTAAAATATTCATACAAAATCAACAACTGTAATATTTGTATAATATTTTAAATGTAGTTTGAGTCTACAATGTTTGTTTAGTTTAATACCACTTGTATTCAAAGCTTGAGACTGAAATAAGGGATTAAACAAAGATTTTCTTGAGCAAAAACTTTGTTCAACTTATGGAACAGTGTTTTGTATAACTGCTGAAAGTCAGAATGTCACCAGCAGTAAAATTTAATTACGGTGTCTTAAGGTATTATTTTATATGAACTGAAAAAATACAACTGTTGTTAACATGGGTAGAAACCATAAAAATTACAAGTTATCAATTATTTTATTAAATTAATAAATTTGATGTAAAATTGGATACTTATTCTGATACTTGTATACATTTCTGAAATTTGAAAACTGTTTCAAATACACATTTCTTTCAATGATAAATGTCGCCGAAATAATTCTAATTCACATTTAAATAAATTTACTTTTACAGTAGATGCACGTTAAAATGAATATCATGGAAAGTGTGAAAAAAAAAAGGTTGATATTAGCAAAATATCTGTCCAAACACCAATATCACAGGAAGGATACATCCTTAATGATCCACTTCTGGTTCCAATTGCTAATAACCTCTGGATGGGATCAAAAGCCAGAGCTGTTGGTTGAAATGGAAACCCATGACGAACAGTCTGCAAACAAGATGAAACCTAAGCTTAGTACTTGGTGCATGGTGTAATGAGTGATTAATAACATTTACTTATAACAAGTTATCTTGTTACCTAAACTAAAATCTTTCTATACATTATTTCTTTGGACAATCTTAATTCAACTGAGAATCACTCAATT